CACTTGCTGCAGCTATTGAGCGCTTGAACGAGATCTCCCAAGCCGGGATTGATCTCCTTAGTGGAACAACAACAACAAAAGTGGTTGCTGTTTGGCCATTGGGAGCTCAGCGGACAGGCAATCCTGCTGACCATAGCGGTGAGTAACAGTTTTAATTTACATTTATTTTGTAACATATTGCTGTTACTCAAGGTGGATGTGACAATGAACAAGAACATGCCGTCACAGCAAAATGTAGGTCGATCTTCCGCGTTATCAACCCAAACGACCGGCTATGTCTCGCAAGGGCAGTATTTGTAGGACTAACTAAAGTTTGGATGATGGAAAGAGGGGAAGGAGCAGAACGATTCAAGGCCTTTTGCAAACAACCGCAAGAACAACATAGAGGACCTGCACATCAAATGCTAAGAAAGGCAGGTATTCCACTCGATCTACAGGAATACTCGCTGGATCACGTGGAAACTTTGCAGCAATCGTTGAATCAACATCTGGGTGGCGCGGGATATGTTCGTCTAGTAGTTTTTAAAAAAGAACAGCAGTATCGACTTGTCTACAAAGGAGAAGGAAAAGCGGCACGTTACAGCATTTGCCTTCTTTTGCAAAACAACCACTACCACTATATTGATAGGCCTGAACAACTTTTTGATGTCAAACGTTACTGCATTGACTGCGAAAAAGGTGTATCAAGATGGAGCCATTGGGCGGGCTGCAGTGTTGTATGCAGGCTGTGCATGAGGTCGGGGCCAGAATTTCCGTGCCAGGTATTATTCTATATCTATTAGAAACTTTTCTTTTTTTTTTCCTTTTAGTTAGAAGAGAGAAATCCATGTGTTGATTGTGGCTTTGTTTTCCCGAATCGCGCCTGTTACGACTACCATCTGAGAAACGAGGCTCCCGAAGAGATGATTCGTCGAGGAAACAGACCATTTAGATCAATCTGCCAAATGAGAAGAATTTGCGACCGTTGCAACCACATAATTTATGCCGATCAAGAACAGAAACACCAAAGAGAATGCCAGCCAGGGGGACAACGCCAGCAACAACAGCAACAAGTTACAAGCACAACTCAACATGCGTTATGTAAACAATGCAAAGGGCCCCATGATCAAGAACAACCGTGTTACATCCAGCCAATCAAGTATGTAGGCGATGAAGAAGATAATGGGAAGCGTACTCCATTACGCCTGTGCTTTTTCGACGCCGAAACAAGTCAAGATGAGCCGATGCATATTAGCAACAACATCCAGGGATTCAAACATGTGCCTTTACTAATAATTGCGGAGGTAATCTCTCTCAATAAAAAATATCTTACGTTTTTTAGGTCATCTGTGAGAAGTGCATCACTGCGAGGATTGGTGTTGAAAATATTGGACAACGAGCGGAAGGCTGCTTTTGTGGAAAGCCGTGTAATGATCAATGGCGACGATGGTGCTCCCCTCCTTTCAAGAATTCGAATGGAGACAACACACCAACACCTGTCAACATTTTCTATAATCCTCGTCGAATGTACTTCCATTCTTTCGACAACAACCAGCAAAGCCCCGTGGACCAGTTTCTCGATTATTTGCAGCAGCATGGTCCAAAAAATGTTCTCACAGTCTGCATCGCCCATAACGGTGGTAAGTATGATTTTCATCTTTTGCTGGAGGCTCTTCACCATCGCAGCATCCCACCAAAACGACTCTGCACTACCGGGCTTAAAATCTATTCAATGCGTTTGGGTGGTAGTCATCAAAGGAAGGTCCTTTTCAAGGACTCGCTCAACTACTTCTTCTGTGAACTTGACGCCCTCACCAAAGTATTTTCACTGCCAGAGGATGTGGCTACGACCAAGCCATACTTTCCTTATCTCTACGTGAAACGACAACATCTACACGAGAGAATAAGAGGTGTCCCTACATTGGAATACTACCAGCCGGACTACAAAAAGGCCGAGAAGAGAGCAAAGCTACTGGAATGGCATCAACAACAAATGAACAACCCAACTAGTCACTTCCAGCTTAGTGAACAACTAATCGCCTACTGTGTAAACGACGTGGCCATTCTTCGTGAAAGTGTGCTTCGGTTTAGACATCTAATCGGAGAACACACACAGAAGCTTGACCCGTTCGTCTCTGCTTCAACAGCGGCAGGACTAGCTCTAACAACATTACGTCGATGTTTCCTACCTGAGAACTGGCTTGTTCATTCACCAGAAGGCGGATACTTGCGTGGGAGGAGAGCATCAGCCGAGTCGCAGCGTTACATCAAGCTGTTTGAGAAGGAAAACCCAGAGGCAGCAGGGAAAGTCCAGTGTGCCCAGTGGGCAATTGGTGAGGCTCATGTGGAGGATAGCGGTTATCGCCTTGATGGACTTTGGTACAGGTCACCACCGCTTAGGCCATTAGCCATTGAATATATGGGATGCTATTACCACGGTAATTTTATTATTCTTTTGCTACTCCCCTACAATCAAATTTAGGCTGTCCAATTTGCTTCCCTGTTCGTAGTCAACGCCTAGCCGCTGGAAAAACTGCTGAAGAGCTGTATGAAAGGACACAACAACGTCTATGGGAGCTAGAATATCAGCACGGCTACGCTCTTCATGTAGTCTGGGGCCATGAGATGAAGGAAAGGTTGAATGGAAATCGCGAGCTGAAGCGGCAATGGTGGGAGATTGAATATGTGAAGCCGATGGATCCGAGGGAAGACTGCTTGAGAGGTGGCAGAACTGAGCCTTTCAAGCTCCATCACGTCTGTGGGAATGACGAGGAAATTCTCTACATTGACATTGTAATTTTTCTTTAAACATATAATTTTATTTTATCATTATAGGTGAGTCTCTACCCATACGTGATGAAGGCCCGCGAGTTTCCGATTGGCCATCCAACAGTTCTGACAAGAGAAACACTAATGAACACATTGCCTTGGACTCGCCCTAGCAGCAATGCTTACAAAGGACTTTTGCTGGTTAGAGTGCTTCCGCCAACATCTATACGAGGACTACTACCCCCTCTACTTGGCTATCGCACGCATGACGGACGTTTAACGTTCCCTCTATGTGCTGCGTGTGCTGATGATAGGCAGCAACATCAATGCCATCATTCTGAAAAGCAACGTTCATGGGTGACTGGTTATACCCATGTGGAATTGAACAAAGCATTGGAGCTGGGGTACAAAGTAGTGGACGTCCATGAGGTTATTTACAAATTTTTTCCAATTAATGAAAAAATAGGTTTGGCACTATGAACGCTGGGACTCAGATTTGTTCAAAGGATACGTCAACACTTTTGTGGGGCTTAAGCAACAAGCAAGTGGCTGGCCGCAAGGATGTGAGACTTTGGAACAAAGACAACTCTATTTGGCCGAATTTGAACAAGTTGAAGGTATTCGCCTGGAGATGGCCAAAGTGGAGTTCAACCCAGGGCTCAGAATGATTGCGGTATTCTTTTTAGTTATTTTTTGCAATTAGTAAATTTTAGAAAATTTTGGCCAACTCACTTTGGGGAAAGCTGGCGCAACGTGTTGGTGGAACTGAAATTCGATATGCGCGTACTCCAGCAGAATTTCATCAGATTTTGGAGGACCCGACGCTCGACACACTGGACTTTGCACACGTTAGTGAGGAAATGGACAGATGTGTGGTGAGAAAGAAGGCTGAGTTTGCAACGGCGCCTGAGACCAACTGCCTACCCGTCGCAGCATTCGTGACATCATATGCTAGACTACATTTATACGGGTATATGCAGCAGGTTAACAACATTGGTGGCCAGCTCTTGTATTGCGACACAGATTCAATCATCTATGTTGCAAGGCAAGGAGGGGAGAGAGTGGTTGAAGGCGAAGCACTCGGGCAAATGAAAAGGGAAATTCCAACACGGCGAATAGTGGAGTTTGTTGCGGGTGGCCCAAAGAACTACGGCTATCGTCACGTGGATGCAGCAACAGGAGGGGATGAAAGAGCTGAGCTGAAGATCCGCTCGTTCCCTCTTTCCTATGCTACTCACCAACTTCTCAATTTCCATTCAATGAAACAAATTGTCCTTGATCAATTCAACATTGATGGGGAGATGTAAATTTTTTAAAAGATTCATTAATCATTCTCTAATTAGTGACCAAGTGCTTGCTGATGGAGTGATTGGCGTGGACTTTCCGCAGATTGGGCGAACTAGACTTTCGGAACTCTACACGCACATGGCTCACAAGGATTATAGGCCCTGCTATGAGAAGGGAAGAATATTGCCGGGAATGGAGACTTTACCCTTTGGCCATAGAGATGAGGTAATTAAAGGAGAAATAACCAAATAAACTATTTTTTATTATAGAATAGAGAGGTGCAAGAGGAACCAGAGGACTTTGAAGAAGTAGCAGAGGACTTTGAAGCATTGCCTGGTGGATCTAGATGGACAAGAGATGATTATTTGGCAAGATACTCATAGATATTATTTTTATTGTATTCACACATTTAACTGTCTAGTAAATCTTATGAAATTTATTATCGTGTATATTTTACAAATAGGGGTAAAAGAAAATTTTCAAATATCTCTTTCATCTGTTCTTGAGTTTTTATTCCGGTCAATATCACACGTCCTGAGATGTAGCAGAGACAAGAAGCTTCTTTAAGTTTAAATCTAAGTGCTGGAAAGATTGTAGGATCATAAAACACTTGGCGAAAATTATTGTTGTTGTTTCTAAGTTGTTTGTAAAATTGTTCAATAGCCAAACGTTGTGGGTGGCGATAGACACCCACAATATTGGTGACACGCAAATTTCTAAGTCCGATTGAAGAGTTGTTATTCCCAGCCGCCCTGTAAGAGGCCAAAATTCTTTTTGTAACTTTCCAAGCCAATTTCCTTGCAAGTTCAGGAGTTGGAACACCAGTAACGACCACCTTTGAAGATTGAAATATGAGTGCAGCAGTAGTCCTATTTTCTTTCAATCGAATGCGCATAATTATAGAATGGAATCTCTTTGGATTATACTCTGTATTTATTCCAAATCTAGCTAGTTGGATGAAATTTTCATGGGAAAACCTTAAGTTCCTAGGCAAAAGTTTGAATACAGCAGTACAATTTTCTATGTTCATAATATTTACTTGACAAAACAATTTAACAATTAAAAAATATGTTTGAAAAAAATCAAAAACATTTTTTCATCTTATTCTCAGTCACAGAAAGAACTTCCAACGGGTAGTAAGAACGGTGACGGCCTCCTCCAAATTCAATGATACAAGGCAAATAAGGATGCTCCAGTTTGACTTTGTGTTTGATGTAGTAGTATCCACGGACCTGAATATAAAATTTACAAGTAGTTTTATAAATATTTACCGTTATGCTCAAATATCCGCCCATAGCATGAACCACACTTGCCGATCGAACAGTCAGATCATTGCAGTGAACAATAAAGTTTTTGAAGCACGGTTTGAGATGACATGTACGTAGTTCAACATTTCGGCGCAGATGATTAATTATATCCCGACGCTCCTCAAGATTATGGAAGAGAACATGAAGTTCTTTAAGAGAGCAATTCTTTAAATTGCACAAATATTCAATTAGCGGTACAGATTCCGGAGCCGGTGGTGGAGTAGGTTCACGAAATGGATTTTCGACAGTCCAGTCCAAAGGTTCGTCGATAGTTATGCGAAGAAACTTGTCGCTCATGTCGAGCATCGCCTCGTCAATATCTTCCTCTTCCTTTTCTTCTTTGATCTTTACTTCAACAGGAACACCAAATGCGGGTGTAGGGGGCTGCAATTAAAATTAATTGTATTTTTCAATAGAAATATTACCTTTTGCTCCTCCGGTTCTTCCTTAATCTTTTCTTCCCCGAGTGTTGGTGTAGGTGGCTGAAAATTAAAAATAATTGGAGTTAAAATAATTGGAGTTAAAATAAAATTTAAACCTCCGGTTCTTCCTCAACAATGACTAATTCAGGCTCAGGTTTCGCAGGCTCAGGAATAAATGGCACCGCATCTTCCACACCCCAAATCATAAGCGTGAGAAATTCCATAGTTCTGAATAGAAAGTACAATTTTTTTTAATCTATATATACTAGTAAAATGATTGAATTGTACCTTTTAAAATGAACGGATTTGAACACGTTGATTTTATTCACTGTTTAAACACCCTTTCACGATGATTGTGTCAGGAAGTACAGGATCTGGTAAATCAGAATGGGTAAAAAAGCTTTTGAATAATCTAAAAGTAATGACAAATGAAAAAATTTCAATGATTCTTTATTGTTATGGGGAGCTAAATTCAAATATAATACAAATGCAGCGTAAAGGTTCGGTGGGAGATATAGGTGTTACTGTTCATTCTGGAATGCCGAGCGAAGATTTTATTAAAAGGCAGGCCAATGGACTGTTACTTATACTTGACGATTTAATGGTTGGAATTGATCAAACTATATTGGAAACAATATTCACAAGGGGATCCCATAACTGGAAAATGAGTGTTATACTGTTAACACAACATTTATTTTGCAAAGAATTAAGAATCCCGCGTAATAATTCACATTATTTGGTTTTGATGAGGAATCCCGCTGGCTCCCTACAGATTAAAAACCTTGCTACCCAATTATTCCCCTCACGGTCAAAATATTTTTTAGAATCGTATGCCGATGCGACAAAGGAAATGTTCGGTTATCTTTTAGTTGATCTTCACCCAAGTACCCCAGAAAAGCTTCGTCTCAGAACACATATATACAATGAAAGGGAAACAATAGTTTATGTTCCAAAATGACAAAAACTAGCGAATTAATAGAAAGGAATGCTGATTTTTTACATTCAGCAAATACAAATTCAAAAAAAGTATTACGAAATCTTTTGGAAAAAGCGACGGATGAACAATTATTATGTTTTGTTGAAATTTGTTTAAATTTACTAAGGGGGCGTCTCCCTTTTCATAAAAACAGGATAAATACCCTTCAAAGAAATGCAAGTATTTTACGCAAAATTAGTCGGTCTCGGACCGCCCCCACAACAAGAAATTTGTTACAACAGGGAAAAGGTATACCTCCTTTGGCTGGACTTATAGCAAGTCTAGTTATCCCGTTAATTGTTGAAAAAATAAATAATATAAATATGAAAAAATAAAATAAAAATGAAAAAAAATGCAGCGAATGTTTCTTATTCCTGAAGATTTTTACAATTCTCTTTTAGAGAAAAATGAACGTGGGGATGGTACTGCTATTGGCTTAATCAAAAATCGCTTGCAAAATGCTGTTACTAATAATGAGAGAATGGATGCCGATTCTCAAGCAATTAATTATGAACAGAATTTTAAAAGATTTAACAAACTTTTAAAAGAAAAGGAGGAAAAACCGATAAATGTAAATGTAAAAAATTTTTCAGAAAATGTAAGTGCAAACAATTCTAGAATAATCCTGAGAAAAAGGGTAAAGAGAAAAATTGGAAAGAAAAGGCACATTCCAATTAAGAGTGAGGAGGAAGTGGAAGAGGAAGGGGGCGGGGCTTTTGAAGAAGAAGAATACCAGTCAGCTGAAAGTGATGGTGATCCAAAAGATCAAGCAATGGAATATTTAAGAGAAAATGCCGATATTCTAGGCATTTTGGAAGATGGAAGACTTGCAAGAAAAATTGGTAATGATTATCCATTAATTACAAGTAATGTTGAGGAAATTGTAAATCATATAATTAGAAATAGAGGGATTCGTACAAAGAAATTACCTACAGGTTATGACGAATTTATTAAAAGAATAAACGATCATCCTATTTTACAACAAATCTTATTCCCAGAATCTACAAGTAAGCAAAAAGGTTCCGGTGTATTTTGTTTTAAGCCGTCGTTATGGACAAGGCCAAGTTTTTAAATAAATTGTACAAAAATGTAAAATCCCCTACTTGTTTCACCTCTATTGAACCTCTTTTGCGAGAAGCTAAACGCTGTAACAAAAGCATCTCAAGACAAGATGTTAAAAACTATCTTGCAGGGCAAAATGTCTATACCCTCCATAGGAGGGTTGTGAGAAAATTTAAGCGAATGCCAACACTTGCCCCAGGTTTGCATACTGAATGGCAGGCTGACTTGAGTGTTTTTAATCGTATAAGCAGCAAGAATAGAGGGTTTAACTATCTCTTAGTCTGTATAGATACACTTAGCCGCCAAATATTTGTTGAACCTGTCAAAAGTAAACATAGCGGGAATATGATTAATGCATTTAAAAAGCTATTTGCTCGAGTAAAAATTGTTCCTTGGAAACTTTTGACTGATCAAGGACTAGAATTTACTGCAAGCCCAGTACAAAAATATTTCAAATCATTAAATATGGAACACTTCTCTATGATTACTTCTCCTATATGGCATGCAGGAATGGCCGAACGAGCCAATCGTAGCATTAAAGAGCGATTATACCGTTATTTTACGGAGAACAAAACATTAAAATGGGTGGATGTTATTCAGGAGATTGTTAATTCTATAAACAATTCCTTCAATTCGAGTATTGGGATGCGTCCTGTAGATATTAATTATGAGAATGCTGAATCATTGCGACAATCTCTAAAAGAAAAGGCAGTTGAGCAACATGGACCGACACGCTGGAAAACAATTAAGTTTAATGTAGGCGACCCTGTAAGAGTGGAAAAGAATAAGCAACTGTTTAAAAAGGGATATTTGCCAAACTTTACAAATGAAATTTTTCTTATTGCTAAAGTCCGATTGGTTCCACATCAACCTCCCACCTATAGAATTCGTGATAGGGAAGGAGCTTTAATTCGTGGATGGTTTTATGGTAATGATTTAGTTCTAGTCAGAAAAAAATTAAAAGAAAGTATCTATATTGTGGAAAAGGTTTTGGATAAGCGAAGACATAATAGAGAGGATCAGATATTTGTAAAATTCAAAGGATACGGTAACGAACATAACAGGTGGATTCCTTCTAGTGCAATAACCTGGAAATGATATAAATATTATGTCATTCTTGCCGATTTTGTTAAAATGACTTCTTTCTATATTATTCTCCCTTCAAACACAAATGTTGATGGAAACAGGACAAACGCTTTTAGAGTCCGTCTTCCTCGTAAGCTACAATTTAATTCGGAGTGGTATGTGGGCTTGACTGTTATGGTCTACCCCCACTCATGGCCTTCAATAGGGACTAGTACTGATCAATTTGTGACAGTAACTTGGCAAAGTGGTGAGGTTGTCCGAGTAGCTGTTCCCTCTGGCAATTTAACTAATCCCCAACAACTCAAGGAAAGCTTAGATAGGTCTTTAAGTGAAGGGTGTGAAACGTTTGCTGAAAATTTACGGGTTGCTGAAATTGAATACAAGAAACAGTTAAAAGAGCTCAAAACAAAATCAAAAGAAGTGTATAATAGACAAAAAGAGGAGAAAAGAATAGAATTAAATGCAACTGAAATACAAGAGGATGAGCTCAAGTCGGAGAATGAAATTTATGAGGAGATGTTAAGGGAATTTAACTCGAGTCTTGATGAAAATACTAAAAAATTATTATCTTTAACCAAAGAAACTGGGTTTGAACCTTGGCTGCAGGTTTATCGTAAACCAGGAATTGCATGTTCCTTTGATTTTCATTCATATAAAAATCGTTTTTCTTTATTTGTAGGTAGAAAATATGTAAAGAAAGTTGAGATTACAGAACAATTAGCTTATATTCTAGGATTTGACAAAACTGTATTGAATGAATCAACTCTTGCAAAATTCATGCCAGATATGAGTGGAGGTGTCTCTTGCTTTCATGTTTATGCCCCAGGATTAATTGAACCAATGGTGATTGGTGATGTTACAGCTCCTGTACTTCGTATTGTGACAATTCGAGGCAAGCAGGATGAAATTATCGAGGAACAATTTCTTTCTGTACAGTACCATAAATTACTTGTAAAAGAAATTGCCGAAATACTCATTGAAATACGCACGGCCGGTGGGGTACTTATGCCTTTCCAATACGGAACTTGTACTTTAACTCTCCACTTTAAAAAATCTGCCTACTTTTAATGAATACGATACAAATTGACAAGATCCTGAGAAGGAACGCTATTACAAAAAGGTTTTATATTGGCTGTTTTGCATCTGATAGGATTCCTCTTACGATATCTAATTTTCCCTATTGTATGGTTGTTAACACTGACCCTTCATTGCTCCCAGGCTCTCATTGGATAGCTATATTTTGCTCATCCCCCTCTAGTGCTGATTACTTTGACTCGTTAGGATTCTGGCCTCCATTTAGCTTTCATATTAAAGGGTATTTATCAAATTTTACAAAAGTTTCCTATAATACTATTCAAATACAGCAGCCAATGGGGCACACTTGTGGTAAATACGCAATATTTTTCTTGTTCATGCGTTGTTCAGGTTTTTCTATAGAAAAT